CTATAGTCACTTATAGTATTTAAACAGTCTTGTCTACCTGTTTGGATTTCTAATAGGGTTAGATTAGATATATTTTCTTGTTTGTTTCTATAGTCACCTCAATGACATCTTACTATTCAATATTTAATTTCCCCCATCCATAATATCCAGAAACTGGACAAGGAGTCATTTGGTTAACAATAATTATAAATGATCACTTATGTAGCATAGTTATGGTTTTAAAAGAATTAGATATTTCAAGTTGAATTTTAAACATGATTCTAGACAAGTTAGTAACTAAACAAGTGTACAAATTATATTTGTGTGATATATGGCTAATATTCCAGTTAGTTTTTATTTAAATATGTGACAACACAGAATATGAATAAATTTGGATTTGGATTAGTAAGGTCTACCACATCGCACCACATATAAAGTATGAGAACATGAGCTACAGCCTGGCTGAAGCAAGACATTTACAATCTATGATATTCTCATATATAGAGTTTATGTATATATAAATTATCTAAGTTTATTCCCTGGTAAATTTACATACCTGGTAAATTGTCAAAGCTATACCTACTGATGTTGTCAGTAGGGGACGGTGGTCTATCAGCAAGAGGAAAACCTCTTCCATCATTTGGATAATAAATAGTGATCTGCCAAAAAATTGTTTAAGAATTCTAATTATATGCCATTAAGTTAAAGTGCTGTATTTCGTTAATAAAATCTGAAGAGCTCACATGTAAAATTAAAATACTATTTTATTGAAAATGCTAAATATTCTCTAGAAGTCATTATTTTGCTTTTCAAACTTAAGCTTAAAGTTCAGATTTTGCTACAAGTTATAATTATTTTTGAAACCACAATAATTAAATATATCTAGTATACTATTTTACTTTTTGAATTTAAGAGATATCATATTAAGAAAACCAATTTTTTAAAAGATTTTTTTAAAGTTTATTTATTTATTTTGTGAGAGAGAGAGAGGGAGAATCTCAAGCAGGCTCTGCACTATTACCATGGAGCCAGATGCAGGGCTCCATCTCACAAACTCTGAGCCAAAATCCAGAGTTGAATGCTTAACCAACTGAGCCACCCTGGTCCCCCAAGAAAACCAATTTTTAAAACTTTTAACAATATCCCTGTAGAATGAATTGGAATGCTAAATGATAATTTGAAGTTGCAAGATAATAAAGTAAAGCCACATTACCATGTTTCCGTCACTAGATATTTGAAGAACTTCTTTCACATATTCTTGAGATGTATGTTCCTTTAGAAGCTCCACACATACCTCCTCTGAATCAAGTATACTAACCTTAAAAAAAAAAACACAAAAAGACTAAAATTTAATAACAATACTCTTGTTTACTATAATAGCTCTGATATATATAATACTTAAAAGTACTTAACCATAGCAGAAACAAAACTTAAAGTCAAAACCAAGTGGCTGCTTCTCTGCAAGTCTAAACCAGGGGTGTATCTGAGCACAGCTGTGAAACATACGGAGCAAAGGTAAGAAGGCATAATTAAGTGTGAAATGATAACCAGTAAGCAGAATGAAAGCAGAAGGTAGGGGTGGAGAATAAAGACTTTGAAAAGACAATAGCAAGCCAAACAAAGGCAAGACTGGGTGAAAAAGAAAACAAGGTACAAACAGGAGAAAGATGGAATTAAAAAATAAAAATCACTATTTCCAATTCATACATCAATTTAAACTTGATTTTGTGCATATTCCTTTTCTTTAAATAGTTTAGTTTCAGATGTTAAAAAAAATTGTATTTTCTATTTTACCTTTCTAAGACTGGCCTAAATACAGAAACAAAAGTAAAAGATAATATTAATTTAGTAATTGCAGCTGTGAATAAAATAATACTTAACACAGTATTTAGCCAGTGTTATTTTTAAATATTTCTGATTATCAATAATTTAAAATTCAAAAGTTATCAGTATCAATTCACCATTCTTAAAGTAGCCAGAAGAAAGCAAGAGCTATTTTTCTATAAACTCCCAGTCTCTTTTCTTTTAAATGAGTTTATCATGTAAATATCAAAAGTACAGGAACTAGAGAAACATATTTGACACAGGAAACCATATACTCAAGGAAAATATCACATAGTAATTTAGAAAAATGATAGACATACCACAGCCTTTTTCGTTTTCTGTCTAATTGGTTTTAACCTGTAAGCAGTCAAAGGAGATGTAATGCTTCGTAATGTACGTTTCTGATAACCCAATGGTGGCTCCATACCCCTAGTCTTGCTTTGTTCAGAAAGAGGATCTGAGTCAAAAATAGATTCTTGTTGAATTATCTCAGGTTTACTTTGAAATGCAGTCATATATTTCATGGTATTCAGCTGTTTTGTAGAATGCACATTATCAGAAGCATCGGGGCTCTTTTTGGCTCGTGTATCAGTCCAAGCATTTCTTGATCTGTCCTGCAAATCTGGATGGCCCTGGAAATCTCTGTTTGGGCTAATGCTGTTGTGCTCAGCAGTTTCTCTTAAATGAGCTATAATATACACAGAATGAAGCAATTTAGTGCATAATTAAAAAACTGAGTCTTCACAACACAATGTCATGCTGGTATTATTTTAACAGGAATTTTTTTTGAGGTACAAAAGAGATCTAGTAAAAAATGCTCATATTTCTAACAAATACACAGTTTTATGATATGACATAATAAAAGAATGACTTTAAAAGAATATTTTAAGCCAGATTGAAAAGAAATACCTTTATACTCCTAAAACTAAGAAAATATATTATTATGAAATTATTCAATCAAGGCAAAATCTAGTCATGTGGGGTCACTTACTAATTCTAAAACAAGCAACTGCCAATGCTCCAATAAGAAAAGATTTGAGAGGAATTCCAAGGTAATCATTCTATGTAATATGTAAATTTACTCTTTAAGCTGAGGACCATCTATTCCATCTTTACTTACAAAATATGCAAGTAAAAGCAAAAACAGTATACGAAATAGCTTTAATAATATTTAATAATACAGGCATATTTGCACCACAATCTAAAAGTTCTTGTTGAGGGGCGCCTGGGTAGCTTAGTTGGTTAGGCATCCGACTTCGGCTCAGGTCATGATCTCACGGTTTGTGAGTTCGAGCCCCGCGTCGGGCTCTGTGCTGACAGCTCAGAGCCTGCAGCCTGCTTAAGACTCTGTGTCTCCCTCTCTCTCTGCCTCTCCCCCACTCACACTCTGTCTCTCTCTCCTCAAAAATAAATAAACATTAAAAAAAAAGTTCTTGTTGAATTTCACCCATATCTACTTTATGTGATTTTAGAGTTCACAAAAGAACATTATTTTTTTTAATCCCTTAAAATGATTAGACTACATTCTAAGGCAATTTTTTAAATGCTAACCTCTAAATATGTGTATTGCAATTTTTTCCTTAAATGACTTCTTAGTGCCTTTCCTCCCCCTACTCCCAATGACAGAAAATACTTTGTACCAAATAATATAGCAGCAGCACCAGATTATAAACAAGCTTATTTCTCCTTTTCAGATATATCCATATTACCAAATAAAAGTACCTATAAACACAACAGAAGGTTAAGTGCAAGATTACATACATGGCAATTTTATAGTTTAAAAAACATAAACTTGAATCATCATCAAGTACACATAAAAAGATTAATTCCCTTTTAGACTCTTGAAAAGAATATATAATTTTTAAAAATAAAGAAAGACCCTTGAGGTGACATAACAACTCTGCTTAGATTAGTCATATTAAATACTCTTTATCTGAAGTAACATGATACTTTGTAAAAAATGATCTCCTCCTCCCCATATGTTTTATTTTCTATTCTCTTTTTTCTCATCATTATTTTCCAACCCACCTTCTGTGAGTCTGTCATGTTCATTAATAAGAAATGTTTAACTTTCAAACTCTATACCTAAAATGACTTGGATGACAGCTGTTTAAAAATGTTTAGGTTTTGGGGTACCTGGCTGGCTCAGTCAGTAGAGCACGTAACTCTTGATCACAAGTTCATGAATTCAAGCCCCATGTTCAGCCTAGAGCTTACTTAAAAAAAAATTGTTTAGGTTGTAGTGGTTGGGTACTATAGCGTTACGTGAGGTCCCATCAGTAAACCATGATGTCCACATAAGCCTCTACTTAAAAATAAGGTCAACCATCTTTTGATTATTTTATAGGCATTGATAGGTGCTTACTATAGATAGGCTATAAGAGCATAGGGATAAAAAGTAAAGTTTCTGAGCCAGGCTGCTTTGGGTTAGAATCCAGGGTTGGAATCCTGACTCCCCTACTTATGGGAGTGTAGCCTGGCAAATTAAGCTCTGTGTAACACAATTTCCTCACGTGTAAGATAGGGCTAATGATAATATCTTCTATTTTGTGTGTGAGAATTTAGTAATTTAATATTTGTTAAGCATTAAGGACAGTAGCTGATAGAGCAAATATTTAAAATGAGTAAATAGTTATTATTACAGTTACTGTAATATAGTTTATGGAAAATATATTATTTTCTTTTTTTTGAAAATGTATTTTCTTAAGAAGCCCCAAACAGAAAACGTACCCTTTATTTGCAGATTCCCAAACCACTGTTGCACCATTTCAGTCTGTGATGTCTGGTCTGGAAATGGAAAAGGAGTTTTTCCTGGACCAAGATGATTGGAGCTAAACAGAGAAAAAGAATTCTCAAAAACTAATAAAAAATTATCAGGTAATAACTTTTTAAGATAAAAATATTTAAAAAAGGTAGTTATCTTTTGATCTGAATATCTGAAATTTTAGGGTAACTGTAGAAACCAATATTTGCATGACCAAAACGTCTCTAAGAAGCTAAACTTCCAGACCAAAATGCCCATACTGTGACAATGTTTCTATATGGCTACTGCCCTCTTGTAATTTAAACATAAAAACCAAAGAACAGAAAACAGATAAAATAAACACTACAGTAACTGAAAAAATTAGCCTTCATGTGAGAAGCAGTCAGTAATATGATTACTCATCATTGGCTCAGCCTGTGTGTGTGTGTGTGTGTGTGTGTGTGTGTGTGTGTGTGAGAGAGAGAGAGAGAGAGAGAGAGAGAGAGAGAGAGAGAGAGAGAGGGAGAGAGGGAGACAGAGAGAGAGAGAGAGAGAGGGAGAGGGAGAAAGAGAGAGAGATAAAGGTGGGGGGGGGAGAAAGGGAGGGGGGTGGAGGGTGGGGAGAGAAAGAAAGAATGAGTAGTTACTATTAGAGTACTTTAGGAATCAGACACATTTAATACACTTTGCACTACAGACCTGCTTCAGATAAAATGAAAGATGAAAATAAAAATTCTAAAGTATTAAAATACTACAAAGACATTCATGAGCACATACACTCATTTTGAAAGTCTCTTAACTACAAGTAAAAATCATCATTCTGGGGGCACCTAGGTGGCTCAGTCGGTTAAGCGACTGACTGCGGCTCAGGTCATGATCTTGCAGTTCGTGAGTTCCCGTCTCGTGTCGGGCTCTGACAGCTCAGAGCCTGGACTCTGCTTTGGACTCTGTCTCTCTCTCAAAAATAAATAAATGTTTTAAAAAAATTAAAAAAAAATCATTCTGATTCTCTAATAAGAAATAGAAATCATAGTTAAGAAGTACCCCAGGAACATCTGATGTTAGAAAAAATTAACCCCCCTTAGTTAGGTGCAGCTTCTTATTTGTGCTAATGTAACATTTATAGAAAAAATGCTTTTGATAGAATTATTCTTACAGTGCTTGATCATTATCAGGTCTTTCAAAAGATCCAGAACTATTGCATGTCTTTTCCTTAAAGAAGTGAAAAACATTGACATTGCTGTTTGTAGGTGAGTATCTTTCTTCGTCTACTCCTGATCTTTTGGATTTTGACAGCATTTCAGCCGAGTGACATCGTTCCATTGTATTTGTTTTTGCTCGAGACTGACTATTAAAAGTGCCAGATCTATCAGAAGAATGGGCTCTGCGAAGGTATCGAGAGTGTGGCCTTTCTTCTGCATCCTGGATTACTCTTCCCCTTCCACTATTACTGGTTTCTTGTTCTTGGTTTCCCCACTGAGTATAAAAACTGCTTCCATCTCCTGAAGAAGAAAAATCGCTTGTATTTTTATTCTTTGGAAATATAGTCATTTTATTTGGGAGTGGCTGACCAATCAAAAGTCGTCTTCTGTCAAATAAACTACCACTTATACTGGTACTGGAAGAAGCTGTAATTGCAGTAGAAATTGTGGCATGTCCACTGTCAATGGAGTCTTCTACAGTTCCTAAATCTTTACTTTTTGTTGAAGAATTTCGGGACATAAAAGGATGGTCTAATACTGAAGACAAACTTAAACGATCTGCTGGATTTCTACGAAGTAACTGGTGAATAAGGTCCTTGGCCTCTCTTGTCAAAAAAGTTGGCATTTCATAATCTGCCAATACTACTTTATTTAATGTGTTCTTGACTGTGTCAGTGTCAAATGGTGGTCTCCCAATAAGCAACGTATAAAACATACAGCCCAAGGACCAAACATCAGATTCAAGTCCATGTGCACTTCGAGTTGCAATTTCTGGTGAAATGTAATTAGGAGTTCCACATAATGTATAGTGCTTTTCATGTGGCATTTTCAATTGAGTTGCCAGCCCAAAATCAGCAATCTTGATGTTCATATTACGTGTAAGTAAGAGGTTAGAAAGTGTGAGGTCCCGGTGTAATATACCATGAGAATGGAGATACAACATTCCTGTGATGATCTGGTGCATGAAGTGTCGAGCTGTTAGAACGCAAACAATAAAATTTACAATTTAGAAAATCTGAAAGGTTCAGTACTTACAATCTTAGAATTCAGTATTTAGAAACCCAAGTACATGTGCCACAATATTACATTAGAACACCAGCTTGCAGCTTAGTAGTTTGATAAACCAAAATACTACTATGATAATTTCTTAAGATTTTTAAACTTTTAAAACAACTAGGCACTTCTGCTAATCTTTGTCCTTTCTAACTGATGCATTAAGGAGTTTAATATTATTAGCAATTGGGAGAGACTTGAGTAACTAGGGTACCCAGAAAGCCATAGCAATTAAGAGAAAATATTTATAATTGCACGAACAATTCATAAATACATTTTATTGTAAAAAAGAAAAAAAGAAAGCAAGTAAAGTTCATCTGATGTCCTCCCAAGCCCTAACAAAAAAATAACCACTATTAATAGTGTATATATATTATTTTATATAAATTTACAGAAATACACTGTAATAAATGTTATATGTAAAAAGGTATAGAAATATATAGGTTCATTACTTTTTTCCCCACTTCACAGTATTTCTTGAAATATTTCCATATCAGTACACATAAATCTTCATTTTATTTAATTGCTATTAATGAGTAATTTCCATTACTTCAAGATTACAAAAACATAGCAATAAACATTCTGGAAATGCTTGTTTTCTTGTGCATATGTATGGGGTGGTTCTCTATGTTAAATTCAAGCAATAGAATCACTGGGTTGAAGGATAAAATTTAGCATTTTAAGGAGCACCTGGGTGGCTCAGTCAGTATGAGACTCTTATCCTCAGGGTTGTGTGCTCAAGCCACACATAAAAAAAAATTAGTATTTTAATACTTGCCAAATTGTCCTCCAAAAGGTTGTATTTTCATGCACATCCTTGTTAAAAATTGGTAGTCTCAATCCAATGATTGAAAAAATGGTATTCCATTATCTTAGTTGGCATTCTTTTGATTATACTATAGAGTTTGAGCATCTTTTCATACATTTATTTATTGGCCATTTGTACTTTCTCTTCTGTGAAGTCTGTTTAGATCCCTTGCCCATTTTTCTACTGGACTATCCTTTTTTGTTAGGCAGCCCTTGTATTTTTTTTTTAAAGTTTATTTATTTATTTTGAGAGACTGTGGGAGCTGGGGCAGGGTAGGATGGGGAAGGGGAGGGAGGGAGGGAGGGAGGGGGAGAGAGAGGGGGAGAGAGAGAGAGAGAGAGAGAGAGAAAGAGAATCCTAAGGAGTCTCCATGAGGTCAATGTGCAGAGCCCAATGTGGGGCTCGAACCCACGAACTGTGGCCAAAATCAAGAGCCAGACGCTCAACCGACTGAGCCACCCAGGCACCCCAACATCCCTTGTATTTTTTTAAATTAATTTGCCAGTCATACAGTTTACAAATATTTACTCCTATCTTTGTTTTAAATTTGACCTAACCTTTTATCAAACACATCCTTAATTTTAATTAAGTCAAATTCATAATTCTTTTCCTTTATAGTTTTTACAGTTTGTCTTATTTAAGAAGGCCTTACTCTTACACAGTATTAAAAAAAATGCAATACTCCTCATTAACATGCATACGAATATTTTTTAACTCGTATTATTACCTTGAATCAAAGAATATGAACATTTGCATATTCAATACATATGTCCAAATGTTTTAAAATGGGTTATAGACTTAAATATACAAAAAGTGTAACAACAATCACATGTTAGCTAACCTGCAATCTCAGTTACCAGGGTGAGATAACTAGAAAACAATTATTTGTGTGACGACTTACGGACCTTATTTGATACTAATCTGAACAGTAAAAAGTTACTTATAAGAAACTGGAGAAGTTGAAACTGACTACACATTTGATAATAAGGAATTAGTGGGTGTGATAATGATTCTGTGGTTACTGTTATTGTTTTTTTAAGTTCTGATCTTTTATTTTTTTTATTTTTTTTTTCAACGTTTACTTATTTTTGGGACAGAGAGAGACAGAGCATGAACGGGGGAGGGGCAGAGAGAGAGGGAGACATAGAATCGGAAACAGGCTCCAGGCTCTGAGCCATCAGCCCAGAGCCTGACGCGGGGCTCGAACTCACGGACCGCGAGATCGTGACCTGGCTGAAGTCGGACGCTTAACCGACTGCGCCACCCAGGCGCCCCGTAAGTTCTGATCTTTTAAAGATATATACCAAAATATTTATACATACAAAGATGTCGATGTCTACAATTAGCTTGAAAATACTATGGAAAATTGAGGAATAAGAAGGGTACAGATGAAACATTTGATCATGAATTGATAGTTTTGGAAGCTGAGTGGTAACTTCATGAGGGCTCATTATACTACTCTCTCAACTTATATGTTTCACATTTTCTATAATAAATGATTTTAACAGTTATCTGTGTTTCACTTAGAAACTACTTTATAGACATCAATAGCATTATAAACAGTTTATTTCTAGATTTAAAAGGATACTAAATTGCTACCAATGATTTAATTTAAAATGTGGTTTTGGGGAAAGATGGATAACGAATTTCTCCTTTTACTTCTGTAATGCTTGAATTATTTACAGGAATTAGCAGCTTTTCTAATTTTGAGGGGATGAAAAGTCTCCTTTTCTAACCCAAAGTAATTGAAACACTTTTATTAAGCGTTACAAAATAGCACATTCTTCCAAAACTAGTTTTTAAAGAGTAAAATTTATATATACCAAAAAAAAAAAAAAAAGAAAAGAAAAAGAAAAAGAAGCCACCTACCTTCATTTTCTGAGAATGGTTTCATTCTGTTCTTTAGATACCTGTTCATTTCTCCATTATGGCACATTTCTAATACTAGATATACATAATTGTTATCTTCAAAATAGTTATACAACTGAAATGTAAAAGGGCACAATAAGTGATAAAATATAAAAATTCAATGTTCTTAGGTTACATCTACAAAATTTGTATCTTACCTCTAAGATAGAAGGATGTTTCAATTGGCAATGTATTTTCACCTCATTTTGGACTCTCTGTACCATTCCAGCTTTGTACATGGCTTTTTTATCTATCTAAAAATAACATGAGACATTTAAATGTTGATAATAAACTTCTAAATGTGAAGTTTTCAAAAATTAACTTTGAAGAGAAAGTATACTTTAAAATATTGTTAAGTCCTTTTATCTACTTATGAGATCAATTTACTCTGTGTGTTTTCCCCATACACCTAACAAAGAGCTTGGCACAGTGAACATTCAGTAAGTTTACCCAATGCATTCTAGTATCTTCTCCCAACTGAAAGAATTTAATAGCACAGCAATCATATCTATAAGAACAACAAAAACAACAAAAATCTAGCCAAACTTTATTTTTCCCCTGTTTCTCTTCTTCTTCTAGACAAGCTTTAAAACAAAACTTCCCTTCCCTTTCCCTGCTTTTTAAGATAAGTGATTCTTAATTTGCTTGTTTACTCCTATTAGAATGACCCCCTAACAATCAAGAATATTTTAGGTTGTTACAGTGTAATATAGAACTATGCACAAGTAGTACTCATTATTATAAACAAATTATTTGTTCTTTGATGTCTATCAATTACTCCAAGTTTTCATAATAAATACTAAGTTTACTGAACATTAATGAAAATAAAACACTTATTTAAGAATAGTCAAGGTTCTCCTAAGATATATCTGCAAAGTCAATTGCTGGACTTGGTACTAATTGCTGGACTTGGCACTATTGTCTTCTGCCTAAGCAATGAGTTCTCTCTACCCATAAAAAAAAAAAAAAAAAAAAAAAAAAGGCTCACAGGTAAGGAGTTTCTGGCATCTCAAGTCATCTCTCTAATTACTTGCAAAGTAGAGGTGAAAATTTGATTAATATATTCTTACCATTTTGATTGCAACTTCCAAACCAGTGTGAACGGACTCAGCTCTGTAAACACCAGCAAATGATCCTTTACCAAGCAGACTGCCAACTTTAAAATCCTTAAAAGTTAAAATGAAAGAACATGTGTGATGACTCACAGGAATAAAGAAGAAAGAGAAGAAGAGACTGGAAAAAGACGATAAAATGGATCGGGAGGGGAATAGGAATTTAAATTCAAGCAGGTATTACACCTCAATAGAGCAGGTGTCTGGGGTGGAAAGCATGTTGACGCCTTGCGGGGATCCCTGAAAGTCTAGGTTTGGCTTCAAGATACAGCACCCTAATGAACTGCTTCCTCAACCTCAATGCAGCTTCAGCACCTTGCTCCCATCTCCAGCCAACCCCTGGGAGCAGAGGGCACGGGTGGAATCCCGCCGCAGCTCCCGCCGGAGGTAACCGCCATCCCCCAGGAGAAGGGGGAGGCAGCTTTGCCTTGTTCTAGCGCGGCAGCCCCGGCGGGATAGCCAACTTGAAGCCTTGGTGTTTGGAGACAGAAGGGCGGGGCCGCGAGCGACTCACCTGTACCCCACCACCCCAGCCAGAGGGGCGGGGCGCTCCGCCCCTAGACAGGCAGGCCTGGCGGTTAGGACTCTCCCAAAGCACCTCAGCGCCCACCCCGCAGCCGTTAGATTCGTCTGGTCCCCCTTCTGCAGTAGTCTCGAGTCCCGCCACTCCAACTCCCCCATCGCCCACCCCGCGGTGGATTGCCAAGTCTTTTCACCTCGATCTTCTCCCCGATGCAGGTCGCCATATTTCCAGGCTCAGGCCTGTGCTCCCCAGATTAGCTTCCTTCACGCAGTCCCTTCTAGGCAGCGCTCCAAGCAGCCAGCCGGTCTTGGCGCCCATCAGGCTTGGCTCTCTAGGCCGCCGCTCCTGGCGACGGCTGCACGGCTACCGAATGGCCTCCCGGGCACCTTCCGAGACCTGGGCGGCGCCTCTGCGCTCCCATTTTGAAAAACTCCCGCCGATTGCCGTCCTTGCCGGACTGGTGGTGACGTAAAGACACCGGCCGCTGTGGAGAGGCTGCACCCGGTGCGCATGCGTAACAGGCTCTGCTTCACGGCTTGCTGAAGTTTCAGTAGGGCCTAGGACCGGAAGTGCTCGGGCGTCTTGTGGCAATACTGGGAAATGTTGGCAGTCAAACTTTCAGAAGACCGAGTTCGCTGTGAGTAAACGAACTAGACTGAAAGAGACTTACAGCTGGTAGGCTACTCAATTCACGGTCTGGAAAACTAGTTCCATTTCTGTGAAGGATTTTAAGAGTTCAAACGTTTAAACTTGACAGAAGAGCATAGGAAAAAAAATATTACCTAGCTTAAACACCATTTACACCTCTGTTTATTCCATCGGTTACTGCAATGAATGTGTGCGGTGCTTTAAGAAATTGAACTCTGTTCTTTATTTTTGGCATATTGCTATGAATTATAATGTCATTTGTATAGCCACTTAACATTTAAGAGATCTCACACTATTGATCAAAAGAGACCTTTATAAGATTTGAATGATCCACTTTTTGCAGATGAAAAGATTGTGGTATTCATTAAGGATTTATAATGAACTACTACACAAACCTAGATCTTCTGTTTATAAATGGAAAACTGTTTTCTTTTACATTAATGGATATATTAAGTTTACTTAAGTTTGTCTACTTGCAAACTAAAATACTATTTAGAGAAAAGTCAACTTTTCCCTTCATTTCTGGAATCCTTCCTTAAAGGTTATATGTTCTAATGCTTGAACGGTTGGTTTCAGAGTCCAGTCTTCCAAGTAGCCTTGCTTTGCCGTTGAATTTTTAGAAATTCATATAATTGACTATCCATACTGGGTTTTTTTGTGGGTTTTTTTTTTTCTTGAGGGGGGGCAGGATGTTAATCCTTTATTCCATTAATATCAGGTATTATATTGACTTTTTTAAAAAGGTAGTTTTTCTTTTGTTTTTTGTTTCTTTTAATGCGAGTATAGTTAACATACAGTGTTATATTAGTTTCACATGTACAATATAGTGATTCAACAATTCCATACATCACCCAGTTCTCATCATGACAAGTGCACTCCTTAATCCACATCACCAATATCACCTATCCAACACCCCCCACACACACACTTCCCCTTTGGTAACCATTGGTTTGTTCTTTGTAGCTAAGAGTCTGTTTCTTGGTTTGTGTGTCTTTTTTTCCTTTGACCATATGTTTTGTTTCTTAAATTTCACACATGAGGGGCACCTGAGTGGCTTAGTTGGTTAAGCATCTGACTCTTGATTTTGGCTCAGGTCATGATCTCATCCTTTGTGGGTTTGAGCCCCACATCAGGCTCCATGCTGGCAATGGATAGAGCCTGCTTGGGATTCTCTCTCTCTCTGCTCCTCCCTCTTTCTCTCTTTCAAAATAAATAAACTTAAAAAAAAATTACACACATGAGTGAAATCATATGGTAAAGCTTTCTATGACTGATTTATTTGGCCTAGCCTTATTACTCTCTAGCTCCACCCATGTCATTGCAAATGGCAAGATTTCATTCTTTTTATGGCTGAATAACATTCCGTTATGCATATGTATGTGTATACATACATACACACACAATGTTGGCTATTCTGGATTTTTTGCCTCTCCACATAAATTTTAGAGTTTTTGGTTTTAAATTTTTTTTTTAACGTTTATTTATTTTTTGAGACAGGGAGAGAGAGAGCATGAACGGGGGAGGGTCAGAGAGAGGGAGACACAGAATCTGAAACAGGCTCCAAGCTCTGAGCTGTCAGCACAGAGCCCGTCGCGGGGCTCGAACTCACGGACTGCAAGATCATGACCTGAGCCGAAGTTGGCCGGCTAACCAACTGAACCACCCAGGCGCCCCTAGAGTTTTTGGTTTTAAATTTTGTTTATTTTTTGTTTGAGTATAATTCACACAATATTACTTTAGTATCAGGTGTACAGTGATTCAACAGCTCTATACATTATGCTGTGTTCCACCAGAAGTGTGGCTACTTTCTGTCACCATACAGTGCTATTATAATATTATGGACATATTCCCTGTGCTGTGTCTTTTATTCTGTGACTTATTCAGCCCATAATTGGAAGCCTATATCTTCCATTCCCCTTCATCCATTTTACACATCCCCCCACACTCTTCCCTTCTAGCAACCATCAGTTCTCTATATTTATATGTCTGATTCTGCTTTTGGCTCGTTTATTCATTTTGCTTTTTAGATGCCACATATAAGTGAAATCATATGGTATTTGTCTTTTCTGATTTCACTTCATACTTCATGTGTCTATCCATGTTATTGCAAATGACAAGATCTCATCCTTTTTCATCGCTACGTAATATTCCTGTGTGTGTGTGTGTGTGTGTGTGTGTGTGTGTGTGTGTGTGTATTCTTTACCCATTCATCTATCTGTGGACACTGGGTTGCTTTCATATCTTGGGTATTGTAAATAATGCTGCAGTAGACATAGGGGTGCATATATCTTTTCATATTAGTGTTTTGTTTTTTTTAGGTGAATACCCAATAGTGGAATTACTGGATCATGTACTATTTTTATTTTTAATTTTTTGAGGAACCTCCATACTGTTTTCTACAGTGACTATAACAATTTACATTCCCACCAACACACACAACAGAATGCCAGGTCTCCTATTTCTCCACATCCTCATCAACATTTGTTATTTCCGTTCTTTTTGGTTCCAGCTGTTCTGACAGGTGCAGGTGGTATCTCATTATAGTTTTGATTTACATTTCCATGTTTAATGATGTTGGCCTCTTTTCATGTGTTTGTGGCCATCTAGATGTCTTCAAAAAAATTTTTTTTAATATTTATTTTTGAGAGAGAGAGAGAGAGAGAGAGAGCAAGCAGGGGAGGGGCAGAGAGGGAGGGAGACACAGAATCTAAAGCAGGCTCCAGGCTCTGAGCTGTCAGCACAGACCTGACATGGGGCTTGAACTCATGAGCTGTGAGATCATGACCTGACCTGAGCCAAAGTCGGATGCTCAACTGACTGAACCACCAAGGCACCCTGGATGTCTGTTTTAGAAAAATGTCTCTGCAGGTTCTCTGCCGATTTTTAATTGAATTATTTGTGTGTGTGTGTGTGTGTGTGTGTGTTGTATGAGTTCTTCATATATTTTGGATATTAACCTCTTATCAGATATATCATTTGCAAATATCTTCTCCCATTCAGTAAAGTGCCTTTTTGTTTTGTTGATGGTTTCCTTTGCTGTGCAAATGCATTTTAATTTGGTGTAGTCCCAATATTTATTTTTGCTTTTGTTTCATTTGGCTCAAGAGTCATACCTAGAAAAATGTTTCCGTGGCTGCTGTCAAAGAAATTACTGCCTATGTTTTCTTCTAGAAATTTTATGGTTTTGGGTCTCAAATTTAGGTCTTTAATCCATTTTGAGTTTATTCCTGTGTATGATGTAAGAAAATGGTCCAGTTTCACTCTTTCGCATGTGGCTGTCCAGTTTTCCCAGCACCATTTATTGAAGATTCTGTCTTCTCACCATTGTATGTAAATTCTCGCCTCCTTTGTCATAGATCAACTGACCATATAAGTGTAGGTTTATTTCTGGATTCTCTGTTGTATTTCATTGATGTATGTGTCTTTTTTTTTTTTCCCAGTACCCTGTTGTTTTCATTATGACATCTTTGTAATCTCTCTTGAGATCTAGAATTCTGATGCCTCTAGCTTTTTTCTTCTTTCTCAAGATTGCTTTGGCTATTTGGGGTCATTGGTGGCTCCATACAAATTTTAGTATTATTTGTTGTAATTCTGTGAAAAATGCTATTGGTATTTCAATAAGGATTGCATTGATTCTGTAGAGTGCTTTGGGTATATGGACATTTTAAGAACATTAGTTCTTCCAATCCATGAGCATGGAATATCTTTCCATTTATTTGTGGCGTCTTCAGTTTGGTTCATCAGTGATTTATAGTTTTCAGAGTATAAGTGTTTCACCTTGATTAAGTTTATTCCTAGGTACTTTATTCTTTTTGGTGCAGTTGTAAATGGAACTGTTTCTTAATTTCTCTCTCTGCTACTTTGTTATTTAGTATGTAGAAATGCAGCTGATTTCTAGGTATTAATTTTGTATCCTGCAAGTTCACTGGATTCACTTATTCTAATAGATTTTTTGGTAGACTCTTTAGGTTTTTCTACATAAAGTATCCTGTCATCTGCAAATAGTAGCAGTTTAAATTCTTCTTACCAATATGGATGCCTCCTCTTTTCCTTGTCTGATTGCTATGGCTAGGACTTTTGGTACTATGGAGAATGAAAGAGAAGAGAATGGACATCCTTGTCTTGTGCCTAATCTTAAAGGAAAATCTTTCAGTTTTTTACCACTGAGTATGATGTTAGCTTGTATTTTTCATATTTGACCTTTATTATGTTGAGATATGTTCCCTCAAAACTCACTTTGCTGAGAATTAATATTTTCAGATGCTTTTTGTGCATCTATTGAGATAACATGATTGTTTAATCCTTTGTTTTATTAATGTGTATAACATTGATTTGTGAATTTTGGGGGCGCCTGGATGGCGCAGTCGGTTAAGCGTCCGACTTCAGCCAGGTCACGATCTCGCGGTCCGGGAGTTCGAGCCCCGCATCGGGCTCTGGGCTGATGGCTCAGAGCCTGGAGCCTGTTTTCGATTCTGTGTCTCCCTCTCTCTCTGCCCCTCCCCCGTTCATGCTCTGTCTCTCTCTGTCCCCAAAAATAAAATAAAAAAACGTTGAAAAAAAAATTTAAAGATTTGTGAATTTTGAACCATCCTTGCAGCACAGGAATAAATCCTGCATGAATATTTGAATGGTCCTTTTAATGTATTGTTGAATGTGGCTTGGTAATATTTTGTAGAGGATTTTTAACATCTATGTTTATCAGAGCTATTGGCCTGTGGTTTTCTTTTTTTGGAGTGTTTTGTATGATTTTGGTATCAGGGTAATGTTAGCCTCAGAGAATGTATTTGGAAGCTTTTCTTCCTCTATATTTTGAAATGGTTTGAGGAGAATAGGTATTGAATATTTGGAAGAATAGGTATTAAAATTTGGAAGAATTCACTTGTGAATCCTTCTGGTCCTGGACTTATATCTTTTGATAGTTTTTTGATTACTGCTTCAATTTTGTTACTTGTAATTGGTCTATTCAAATTTTGTATTTCTACCTGGTTC